AGGTAGATACCGTTCTATACTGTAAAAAGCATATGGTAAAAAGGCTATGTCGATTAGCAATGGATTATAAATATACTTAATTATGATGAAAATACCAGAGATGGCTTGAATAACACAGATAAACTACACATTGTCACAGTCGAGCGTTTATTGTCTTTGTTTTATCATTCAAAATGTTTATATCTTCTGTTTACTCAGTTACAGCGATAGCAATGCCTTTGTCCATATTAGGGATTTCCTGAGTTCTATTCCTTCTGTGATGCATATGTGGAGTTTCTGTGCGAGGTCGCCCTCTGGCATCCAGTATGAATGAAACCGACATTAAATGTGTTTACAGTGCTCAATAATGGCCAATCCATCCTATTTTGGGTAATTTTATTTTATCTTTATTTTTAAGTATCGGTTCAGGCACCGGTACCGTTTTAGAAGTATCGATTTGGCACCGGTATCGGAAAAACCCAAACGATACCCAACCCTACTATCAACACTACAAAAGGCTAAACATAACGCCAAAATGAATCTGTGGCAGTCAGGTGGTACAGTGGTGACATGGTACAAGTTGTAGCTCTCAAGTTTAACTCAGGTTTACAAGTTGTTTAAATAAGAGTATTTTTTAAATACGAGTTCTACGAGTTGAAATCTCATAATTATGACATGATGTGAACACACTAGTGATGCGCGGATGAGCTAAAAGTCACCCGAATCCGCAGCTTAAAATAAATTATCCACCCGCTCACACCTGAATTTTTGTCTGATTTAGATAACCGCACCAGACCAGCACCCGATCATAACATTAGGGTTCGTACGGTCATGAAAAACCTGGAAAAGTAATTGAACAGCAATTTCCAGGCCTGGAAAGTTTTGTAAAAATAAATAAACCCATAAAGTTTTTTAAGGGTCATGAAAATCTATTTCACAATTCTCTGTATAATAGAATTATGTTTAATCAGGTCCTGAATTTCGTTGCGGGATTGTGCATACATAGCATTAATCATTCCTGCAGCTTTCGACTTTAAAATGAGGGAAATTGCTGCAAAACATTTATTCAATATAGCGTGTAGGTTAGATGAGTAAATAAATCCACACAAACCATCAGATCAAATAAGTCATTTGAAAACAGCATGAGTGATTCAGCTGTACCGCGTCTTCTCTATTTGACTTTCTCTTCACATTGACGCATCTAGAGCTGCTGCACGCTGCGATATAAGACTTTAGCTCACGTTTCGGGACAGTTGACAGAATTGTCAATTGCCTAATCGGTCATTGTTGCATCGTCACAAAAATTTATTATTTTCACGTCTTTTTAAGCCATTCGGTACTCGCGCTCTCCAGAGGCGCTTTTCCATGCGCTCACAGTCACATCCAAAGCACGCGCTGAGAGTACCAAATTGAGAAAGCACTGTCGGTTTTGTCTTAAGTTAATGTAAACGGTTGCGAAATAAAACGCATGAGTATCAGTATTGGATCCGTGAAATGAGTCTTGTGACAGCAGCCTAATAAAGCTGTGCCGTCTGTCATTAATGTTAATCAAACAACAAAAGACAGAGAAAATCCCTTACTGCTCTTGACTAAATAATGTTTTGTTGAATAACATTTAATGTTAATTTACAATTTATTAAATTTCTGTAGCCTATTTAAAACACGTTTATATTTTATATAATATAGCCCTCTTGAACGCCACCCTCCGCGCGTCGGTAGCCCCCCGGGATTGCTTGATCTGTCCGCGCCGGACCGCGAATTTAACCACCCGTAACTCCCGGTTCATATCGGCGGCATATCCGCCGATACCAATATATCGGCGACAGGCTCATATCGGCCGATAATATCGGCAAAATGATATATCGGTCGGGCTCTACTACCGAGTAAGCTATGATTAAATAATTTAACGTTTAATAGAGGGCTAGATGATAGCAGTTAGTTGATTATTTTGCTGTATTGTTATTGTTTGTTGCTGTTCAAGTTGTTTTAACTTAAAATGATGCGTCTGTAAAATGGGTCGCATTTGCAATGAATGTGTTATGTCAGGGATTCGGTCGCAATGAGCTTGAATTCCATTGTAAAGCAAACACAATTAAGTATTTCTGGTGGTTGTGGTGGTATCACTTGTCTGTATTTGTGGTAAAACTGCTGCCTAAGACATATTTATTTCCTTGATG